GCAGTGGGCCTTGCTGGGGCTATAGGCTCGGGAGGACTTGGGCATCGGAGGCACTTCTCAAGGGCTATCACTAGACAGAAATTTCCCCCCTCAGATTGGCCTTATCCTGACCCGTTACCTGTATCTTGGTAGTATGTTCTTTTGGGGGGGTCTTCCCATATGGAAAATGCCAGGGATGCTCTCCCTCCCCTAGTCCAATCCCATCTACCCCTTATCATGGGAAAAAGACCCCACTCTTTCCAATGTTCCAGGGCTCATGCTGAATTTCTCCTACTCATGTACTTCCAGGTAGAAAGTATTGGAAACATTTCAGGATGGGGTGGTTAGAATGGGAGAGTTAAATGTTCAAGCTCACATGACCATCTTGCATCAGAAGCCTATCCTGTAATTTGGACTTAGTAGTAAAAGGGAAAGGAAGAGGAAATGAAGTCAACAAGGGACTTGGGGGAATGACTGCTTTAAGGAAAACGATCTGGAAGTATTATGTTAAGCATGGCTTAAGTCTCTACAAGAATGTGGTTTTGGGGGCGTGTATGTGGCTAAATTGTCTGTGACCTGGGCTCGCGGCTCATGGTGTCCCTGTGTGCGTGTGCGACAGCGAGGCTGAGGGTGGGAGCACAGAGGTGGGGGCGGAAACACCCCCAAGGTCTGTATCAGAAATACAGTCCTTTCACTTAAAGCCAAGGTGCAGGTTGTACTGATTACTTGAATGGAATTATTAGGTTCTGGATTTTTGCAGAGAAAATTGCAGCTTCCGATGTGGTGCTGGGTTCTCACAGTGGAGCTAAGGCTGTTGGTTTTCTAATGAGCCCTCAGGGATTTCTGCCCTGGAGGACTGAGCAGCAACGAGGCTCAGGACCAAGCCCTCTGTAAATATCATCTCATTTAATACTTAGAACCATCCTGCTCTGTCATCACCGTTTTAAAGAGGAAGAGTCCAAGCTTGGGGAAAAAAGAGAGCACACACAGCCAGCAGTGGCAGGGTAAGGGCGGGAGGCCAGACAGTCTGGCATGCAAACCCCCTGCACAGGAAGGCATGACGATAGCGCCATTTATGTACGATTAGCTGGAAGTCTGACCTGTGAGGCATAGTCCAGGGCAGCTGGGAAGGAGCTGGGGAGATCCTTCTCCGCTAGGCCCTCTTGCCTCCATCCTGTGCCCTATTTTAGACCTGTGGGCAATTACTTATTTAGCTTGTTGGCTCCGGCACTGGGCCCGGAGCTCCCCGGTATACCGGCAGTGACGCATAAGTGAAAAG